GGGACGAAAATTAAAGCATCAAACAAACAAATAGCCAAGATTGTGCAGAGGAAATCCTGTGTGTTTAGGTACAAGATGACATCACAGTCTTGGTTCCAATGTTGAACAGAAAAGCATAGTTGAACAGGGTGGTAATCAGTGTTCTGTGGTCATGATTTACCAACAACCTCAAAATACATTTCATTGTTATCTATAAAAAAATTACTGTTTATTTTCAGGACCACTGGCGTGTTACATGCCAAATAATTTTAAAAAGCTAATAGATCAGTAACTTCACAGTTCACACTAAAAATTGGTTCAGTGGAAGAAGAGCAAAGGTTATAGAGACTGTTCATGGGAACATAATTTCACAGAAGTGGCAGGGTTATGAAGTGGCAAAATTAAAAAAGCAATATTTCGGGCAGGAGTTGTTAACTACAAAATAAGGAACGAGAAATTGAAGAATTTAATTTTAGGAAAAGGGTTTTAAAACCAGACCTTGAATTAAACGTACTTACTTCAAAGTAAAACATTAAAGAGTCCATTTTCAATTAAATGATGCTCATTTTTAACGTAATGTTAACAATAACATGAGATATTGTTAGTTTATAAATACATTTTTAGTATGTTGAAAACGGACTCTTTTCAATTAAATGATGCTCATTTTTAATGTAATGTTAACAATAACATGAGATATTGCTAGTTTATAAATAAATTTTAATATGTTTTTCACTATAAATGAAATCAACAAAAAAAATTATTTTATTACCAATAAATTTTTACTGTCTAATATTACAATCTGTTTTAAAATGTTGTGTAAAACAACAGCGACAATCACAACTGTTAACACAGGAAACTATCGTTTCAGAATCCCAAATGTGCATCCAATTCTATTGCGACTTCCAATGTGTGACTGATAATAGAGCTGTTGTACTGGAGTAACGGGAGTAGTGTTAACAAGTATTTTTCTAAGGGATAACTTTTGTTACTTAGAAATATAATAATATAATAAAATTTTCTTAAAATATTCTATCCAAGAGCACACAACTTTGTAGTTGTGCATTTTCAAACAGATCTTAAACTGAACAATGATTAAAAATAGTACTATCATGTGTAGCTACTGATCATTGTGCCACAATATTTGAAATTTAATCCTTTCATCACATATGGCTTGTACATTAATGAAGATATAATCTTCCTGATTTCTAAAAATTTCTGAATCTTCTCCACCTAAAACTTTTACTATTTAATTTTTTATGTTCTATGTTAGCAAAAATTCATATACCTGGTAATTTAATTTTTATATGTGCATATGCAGTCCAAGGCGCCAATGAAGTCTGGAAAACGAGCTAGATGAACAAGGAATTATTCTAACCACTATTGTTTGATGAATGTCCATAAAATCCATAGTACAGTCTAAGTGCGCTCTACCAACGAAATATCATAAACCAATTAAGAGTTAGTTCATTGAAGAGAAACTTTGACTGCTGGAAGTGAAATATTTATCTCTGATTACTGACGTAAGTTCTACACTTACATATCTACATAAAATTCTAGATGATGTTCTAGCAAAGGTGAAATACACATCACTGTTTCTTTGGTCATCTGAAACTTTTTAAAACCTGTGCAATCACTCATACTGTGAAAATAATCAGCTTTTAATTAGGTTACTCCCTGAACATCAAAGCATTCAAATTCTTCCATTTCATCAAATACTTCATTATTCATTATTAAATCATTGTCAACTAGAATTAAGCAGAACCTAATACTTTGTCGCTATATAATTTATATCACTCACCAAAAGCTAATTACTTTCAATTATAAAAGATGCTGGAAATGTTCCCCGTTTTGCTGTAAACATAAAGCTACCCTTCTTTTTTTGTTTTCAAAAATGTTTTCTAACATCACTACATCAATATTTTGACAACAATGTATAATTGCATCCATTAGTTCTTCCAAAGTATGTAATCGATGTTTGTATATGTTATCTTTCATCCATCCAAAAATTGAATAATCAAGTGGAGTCAAATCAGGTGAACGAGCAGGCCACTCTGGATTAAGATTTTGACTTATTATACGATCCCCATAAAATTCTTGCAAATATCTTAAATTTTCCATTGTTTTATGGGCTGGGGCTCCGTCTTGTTGAAAATAACCAAATTCCAATTCCTCATCATCCAAGTGGTTTAGAAACACCTCTAATATTTGCTCCCTATACCTTGCGGAATTAATTGTGTTGTGAAAGAATATTGGCCCAATCACTCTTCTACGCGAAACCGCTAACCACACGCCAACTTTAACAGAGTGTAAAGGCCTTTCTTCAAAAACAAAAGGATTTTCAGCACTCCAAACTCTATAATTTTGCGAATTAACATAGCCATTTAGATGAAACCATGCTTCATCAGAAAAAAATGACAAATCCAAAATTCTGTTGTTGTTCATGTTGTTTTGAAACCATTCACAATATGCAACACGACGAGGATAATCAGCTGGTTTAAGTTCATGGATTGACGATACTTTATAGGGATGCATATGTAATGTTCTTTTTAAAACTTTCTGACAAGTGGTGTATGGGACACCAGATTGCAAAGACAGTTTACTCAAAGATTTTTTTGGGCTTTGCTCCATTCTTTCCCTCAAATCTTCAACCACCTCTTCACTAACTGGGGGCCTTCCTGGTGACTTGCCTTTAGAAACATTTCCAGTGCTGTTGAATCGGTCAACGATTCTTTTTATGTGTGTCATTAAAGACTGTTCTTCAATGTTTAATTCTGGAAATTTTGCCAAATACTCATCCTTGCAGGCTTGAACAGAATACACCCATTCCCCGTCCGCATTTAACGTCCCATTTCGATAGTAAGACATAACAATAAACGTATTTTGTTCAAGAGTGTACCCCATCTTAACCTAAAACAGATTTATTTGAAATATGAATACACATTAATTCATTTCTAGTTACCTTAATCGCTGTTATCAAATCGTTGTAGTTTTGATAAAAACTGGTTTAATTCAATTTAATTTATAACAAAGAAGACTGGAACAACACAAGTAAACAAGACGTGCGCGGGAAAGTATTATGACATATGACCAGCATGACATTCTTCTGACAGCAAAGCAAAACAAAAATTCCCCATAACTTTAGTGGACTATAATTAACAATTTTTTGAAAGTGAGAAGCGGCACATCAAAACAATTGCGTCAGCGCCTACTTCGACTACAATCATTTATGATAACCCTGTATTACACATATGTAGTCTTCAACACGTACGTTCGCTTATTTTGTGACTGCTCCCCGTACGTCCGTTTACTACCTTATCGACATCACGTGCTTACACACTATTTTTACCTCCTTTCGTAAGGTACCGCCACTTCACAGTGAAGCGAGTGAGATGTAAAATATATGTTCATTCTTTTCTACATAGGAAAGTGATTCTCCGTGTAGGTTGTCCAACTATAATATACTTAAACAATGATTATACATATATGTATTTAATGTATACTTGAAACAAAAATACGATATACGTATAATGCACACTTTTAAGCGGCAAAACAAATTTCTGTGCACATTTCTTCCTAACGACTTTACAGTTGTTTGAATTTAATTGTTTAATTAATATCTATAGTCATAAGGTATTAGTGATAAACAGATAATCTATATACATATTCCTGTATACAGGGCTATTCAGCTTAAATAACGAATTAGAAATTCATTCATTACTTTGAAAGGTTAAAAAATGCAGAGATTTTCATTCACTAATAATGATGAAAAACAGATATGGTATTAATTTACGGAGAATGTCGCAAAATCGCGTTAAGGGAACTCGCTAGACGAGGTATAACATTTTTTTTTGGTTTTTTGTATGAAAAAATGGTATTAATATAGATGTGTACATCAAACTGCACCTTTTTTCATATTTTAGACCGCACACACCAGTTCAATCAACTAAAAAAATATGGGTGAGAAATATCGTAAAAATGCACCATTGTATCTTTTCTTTCCAATTTTTCAGTCATAATCATCATAGAATCGCTTAAAAATTTTCACATTGACAAAGCATTACGTTTTAGAGTCATTAACTGTTTGTTAGTGGTACAATTTATTTAAATATTAAAATCAAAATATACGACAAATTAATGCAAAATACTTCGAATAATTTTAACAGCAGTATCAGAGGAAAATTAATGATATTGTGATAATCCAAACTTCCCGCCTTTAATTGACCTTGAAAAAGTTTGAAAGGCCCGCGAAAAATTCAAAAGTTCAAAGTTTGGCCTTGGCTGTGATCGTATAACAAATGGGAACCTACGTTGTGGTTTTTTTTTTGAAAAGTGGCGGGAAGACGTTCTTTCATACAAGTGCATACACTGCGTGTGATTCGAGAGCCCAAGAAATAATAGATAAAATTGTTTTGGTGTTTTGGAGGGGGAGCACGGCACCCCCTCGCAGGTAGAAAGAAGCTGCGAAGATTTACTCCTCAGCGCAAAAACCCCCTTGTTATTATTCACGAACATATTACATTTCAAACACCTTAAGATAAGATATATGAAAAACGAACAAACGCAACATCCTATACATCTGTTTGGAATCAATGCAATATCACAAATTTAATAAAAGCAAAGCAAAATCCGACTTAAGTAGCTGGATGCAAATACACAAGTTATTACGGGCGTGTGGCGGCAGATTTTTAAAGTTACAGCAGTTAACAGGAGCACAACAAGAATACCCGTGGGCATTCTAGCGTAAGGGGAGTTTGGAGCTACCCGGTTCGGGCTGGTCTAATCAGGCCGTTTCAGCCGAAAACTAGGGGTGAAGTCAAGTAGATAACACCCCTTCGTCCAGACCGTTCCCACTTAATCTATTCAAAGCCTGCCACCGTTGTGCAGATATCGCGATAAATCCCGATAGCCACCGCTAGGAGCCGCTCCCTGCGCTTCTGCTACGTGTTTCGGTGTTATTTAACCTCAGTTCCATCTTTTTCTTTTAAATGTTCAATTTCTTTTAACTCTAATATCAATAACAACTGAACAAGTGTTAAAGTTTCAAAAGAGCAATAAACAACATTTAAATTCGCCATATAATCTTGTGAAATTTTAAACAACAAATAATTCTTTTGCGAGATTAAAAATGGGACATCAAATAATTAGCCAAATACACTGACGTCATCCGAGGTCATCAAGATGGCAGCGTTTGACAACTAGCCGGTTTTCTCATAAGACTCAATGCTAATATTTTCGGAATTCATTTAAATTTGAGAGTGTGTCAACTATGTTTTTATAGTTTGGTAAGTTTGTTACAGTTTCTAGACTGTGTAGATATCTGTAAAACGCACCATAACGTTTGAATATCCTTAAAAAATAATGTTTTCCAATGTAATGTACAGGTTAACTTCGCTGCATCTTATATTATTTGTTTTGCAAATTAATTCTGTGTTAATGTACATCAATGTTTTTTAAATACACTAGCATCTTAATATTATAATATTTTGTATTTTAGGAGAAAATGCCTAAATTTTGTGCTGTTGTGGGTTGCGCGAATCGAAGCACCAGAAATGCGGACAAATTTTATTTTCCTTTCCCAGCAATTAGCAACAATAAAGGTAAATATATACAGGATGGGGAAAAAAGGCGGAAGTTTTGCTTAAAAGCCTTGAAACGAGTACAGTAACTACCTATTAGATTTACAGTTTCTAATAAATTACTACATTGGTGCTCTTTTAGGTAAACCTGCAGATTTGTCGGATGTGGATCACCCTGATTATGTTCCATCACAAAATTTAGGATATCAAAATAAATCCACTCATAATACTTGTAATGTTAAAAGACACAGTCGTTTAAAAAAGAGAAAACTGAATAAATGCCTCTAGACTTTTGAATGCATGAATTTCATTGTGGGTTATTTTACTTATTCCAAAAATAAAAAAGTTTAGAATGGTGTTCATTGTTATGGTAGGGACATCGTCTAAACACAAATGAAAATCACTTGCACTCATTTTATAAGGATCTACGCCGTTTAAATTGTTTAACTTTTGTACATATCTATTTTTCTCTTTGACGGAAAGACATCGTGCATAATCACTTAAATTATTATCCATACTTTAAAAACAAATTACACACCTTCACTTAAACCCGTCACATCAACCTCAAACGAAAATATTAATTTCCGATTTACTGCTTAAAACACACGGATGTATTTTGGGTGACGAGGAATTCAGACCAAAACAGCGTTCTGTATTTTTATTTTTATTATGTATTTTTAAACTCAAATCGCCAAAAAAAGCACCCTGATACACAGAAAAGATATGAAGGAAGCTATTCACCTGTTTATTTTCTAAATAAATACCCACACTTTTAAATAAAATGCGAAAATGTTAACATTGTCACTTATGGTGTTTCACGGCGCTTGTCAAACGCTGAGTTCCCGCCACAGCGTGATACGTGATATGATAGAAACATTCATCAACAAAGTATTTACAAAACAAAACTTAGCAAGGATTTATGAAACAAAAGATCTGGTGTGAAATAAACTTGTACAAATAGAAATATTATGTGAGGTTGAAACTGTAGAGCATGAAATTTACGTTCAATTAAAATTATACAACAAAGGAAAATTACTGAGGTTAAAACTGTGAGATTGAGAAATATTGTCAAATTATACCATGATCTAAGTGATTGGTTACTTCAAAAAAACAATTTACTTAGGGAGTTTAAAATACCGCGAACTGGTTACCCCAATTAAACACATAATAAACAAACACAAAAATATCCAATCATCGCTTCGAGGGAAAAAGCGTCTCGGTGATTTATATTTTAAAATCGTTGCGAGGAAAAAGCGTCTCGGTGATGTGAATTTTAAAATCGTTGCAAGGAAAAAGCGTCTCGGTGATGTAAATTTTAAATCGTTGCGAGGAATCGCCTCGATGAATTAATCAATCTGTGGCGTTGCGAGGGCAGGCCTCGATGCATTAATCAATCTATGGCGTTGCGAGGGCATGCCCCCGCGATGTGACCATGATAACGATGATAATCGCGTAAGGGAAGAAATTATTATAACCCCGTCCCGCCAGTTGGCAGTATAATGAACTTGTTTAACTGCCGTAAATGAACTATTAGCAATCTTGTGTGAAGAATTTAGAAGTGTTATAATGTAACACTTACGTATGTGCATCCAGAAACTTATTCGTAATTAAACAACAAGGTGTTTTCCTGACTAAGTGAATTTCATGAAATCTAGCAAGTGGTTTATTTAAATAATCCTGATTGTTAAACTGTGTTTGCACTAGCTGACGATTAAGGAGAACTAACTTGATTGATGAATTTACAAACAATGAAACAAATTTACAGCACGTGTTTCGCGTTGAACGGAAGTTCACATTTTTCCGATTAAAAGGGCGCAAGAATTAACCGCGCGGGTTGGGGACACCTGAGTGACGTTGGCTACGATTGATTGTCGTTAAACAAAGGCTTCCTCCCATTTTATTAACTACCAAACCAACTAATTTAAACCTAGCTCTTACCACGTGTTTACACTTACACAAGCACATGCAGACTGACGCTACGCCATGCTGCCCTTTGTCTAACCAACAACCCTCCAACTAAAAACCTTTAGCGCTAAATCGTCCGACTACCAAGCAAGCGGTTCCTGCACCAGGTTGCCTATGTTTAACGATTTCCTTTTTTGTGATTGAATTTTTTTTCTCTTTCAAATTCAAATTATTCAAATGTGATTTCGCGCCGCTGTTAATTAATTTCAACGGGAAAATTTTGAATTAAGTTCGGTCACCACAATATATTTGCTTAACAGAGTTTTTAACAAAAACTACTAATAATTGAAAAAAATGGGTATCATTCTTAGATCATATAATAAATAGATACCAATACTCAAACTGAAAGCTGTGACTAGACATGAAGCTATCTGTTGTCGTTTTCTACGTCAAGGGGAGTATTATAATGCTATCCTTGTGTGATCACCACATCTTCATCTTTGTTATATGCATTTCATCTGTATATGTCTATTTCACTTCCATCCTGGTACCGCACCAGCGCAACAAATCGTTTTTGACAGATGTTTCTTCTAACCTCTCTTTTGAGTTCTTGTACGAAAAACAATTTTAGAATTTAGAACAAAGATTCTATTTTAAGTGATGTACCTAATCATAAAGGATCACAATTGCTGCCCAATAATTTACTATTCCTTTCGTTATCTCCTGTGAATTATTTATAAAATCAAACTGTCCTAAAATTTAGGCGCGCAAAATTCAAATAGTGATCAGGCAAGGATAGCTTGATTGTAATCCCTCTATGCAGAAGAGAGATGTGTGACAGGAGGATGTCGTCACAGGCTCTGCCAGAGAAAGAACACGGCGTGGTGGTATCTATTTATTATATGATCTAAGGTATCAATTCGACAGAATTTGAGCCGTTAGTTGAGGACTCTGCGGATAGGAGTGCCACTAAAATTTACGGAAGCGACTTTCCGGGTAAAATCCTTTTTGCCTGAATGTTGCCTGCTCTACCAAGGTGTAATTGTTAGCGTTCTCGGCTGATTTTTCTAATTTATGGCAAGGAACTCGGTTTTATAACAAAGCGCCAGGACCGGCCGTAGTAATCTATTTCATTCTGTTGTTAAGGAAGTTAAATTTTACACAATGGGGTAATATCATAAAATCGAATTAGAACTGGGAAAACCAGCATAATATTTTTAATTGACTCAGAATTCAATCCACGTAATTACTAAAAATTCATTGTAATATTGTTAATATATATTTTGCTTTGTTAATTAATAAAACTAATAATCAGTACGCGGGATTCTATCTCACCGCTGCAATCCCCCAGTTGAAGTAAGGTGTGTTTTACGGCGAGTAACGTTTTGATCTGGTCCACAAGGTTATAGCCAGTGTGTCGGTAGGAGTGTTTACAGCTAGTAAAAAACTACTTCTATATTACTCTACTATATTACTTCAAATAATAATACGCGATGCCCTTTTTAATTTTTTAACCACAGGACCACAGATTTGTGATCTTGAAATGTTATATTATGTTGATATAGTCCAAAAGAAAAATATATTTGTAATCAAACTATCGCCGCGACAGCACTGGATCTAGCGTACGAGATACAATTCCGCGCGTTGCTAATAATAGTAGATTATATTATTAAGAGTATAAGTAATAAAGCTTTATGTGCTGAGCATGGACTCTGTTGACTGACGAACGTAGTGAGTCAGACAAGTCCGTGCGAAGCACACAAAGTACATACTTAAACTCTGAATAATATATGCTATTTTTTCTTCAAACTTACAAGATTATATCAAAAACAACGTATCAATAATTTAGACACACATTATAATTTGTTTACGAAACTCGTGATAGCGATTTACAAAAACGTGTTTGGATATTGTTATGAAAACTTATCAAACAAAAAAAGTTATAATTTTTTGCACAACATCTGAATTTACCAAAACTCCACCTGAAATAGTAGAAATAGCGAAAGCTGAAATTAAAAAACTTTTTCCGACAAAATCAAGAGATTTACTACTTGGTGTTAACAAAAAAACGCAGTCGTTTACACGGAAAGTGTCCTCCTGGCGTATTTTTCGGAGATGACCAGAAGCATGAAAAGTTCCAGTTTATGGTCTCATTAGTCGATGGTTAAATAATGAGAAGAACTTCGGCGACTTTACTTGTCGACACCAGCGCAGATATTACCACCCTCAAGAGGCTTGGAGGTTGGCGATCAAGCACAGTCGCCGAAGGATACATCGAGGACTCATTAGCAAACAAAAGGAACATTGGTAGGAAGATTTTGCTAAAAAATGAAGGCAACAGCAGCGAATTTGAAAACTACTACTATTAGTAACGAAAGCCTTACTACCATGAACTCCAATTTGAACGACACGGTTAATAACAGTGATTTGGAAGAAATTACAAGAAACTGTCTTTTTTAGGATGCGACGTACCTTTAATATTAATATTAACAATTATAAAAATTAGCAATAAATAATTAGAATAATTAAGCCGAGAATTAAGCCTTATGTGAATAAATGGTTTTACAAAAAGTGCTCGTATATGTTTTCATTTGCCGAGAGATCATTTTTAAAATATATTTATAATAAAAGTATACAAATCTTGGTAATAAAAAATGTACTCCTAATAATTTATTAAAGTGCATAAAAACATAGAAATAAATTCTATTTAAAAAAAAAAAACCTCTTGCAAAGGTATGTTCTTTCGTCTTGAATCAGTTATTTCGGGACAATAAGGTCCCAAAATAAAATCTGTCAAGTTTATGTACCATCCTTTTATATATTTCTTCGTCTTTATAAGTTTTTTCTATATTTAGGTATTGCTTTGGGTGTCCAACTGTCCACACAACAAAATAAACTTGTGTGTGTGACAAGCATTTGTCCCTGGACTTGGAAGTAGTAATCGTGACTTTTTTTTAGTTTGAATTCTCTACCTGTCAATATACAAATTTTTTTTTTCTAACCGCTTCTTCGGGAGACAAATCTTGCGATTTTGAAGGGCTTTTAATTTCGCCTAATGCACTCCTATCCTCTAGAACCCTGTCTGGACTAGCAGCCAAGTAAAGAAATTGTTTAGAAATAAACAACCCACACCGTTCAATTTTTATACACATTTTTATTTATTTCAAAACACTTGAAAGCTTTTTCCTGACTTTGTTGTCCATAGTATGTAAGACTCTTACCTCTAAATGTACTGTGCAACAGAGACTCTACAGTTTTATCTGTTGCCGTAGTCGGTCTACGTTTGTAAATACGTCCAAAATTTGAAACCGTAACCTTAATTTCTCTTTCATTTGTCCAAGTGTTACAGAGTGTATATTTCAGTTTGGTCTAAATTCAAAGATAATTTTCTC